GAGTAATAACCCAAGTACACAAATTTGAAGCTCTGTCACAAATCACCTGCCCATTTTTTTCATATAGCTCAGGTTTGTATTGTGCAGGAAGAGGATGCAAGACTGTTGCATAAAAAATCTGAAACAATATGAGGAACTAGAATATGTTTAAATCCTGTTTTGATTTCTGCCAGATTAAAACCGTAAACCAGTCCGACGTGAACTACAGCCATGGCATCAGGCACAAATGCAAATATTCTTCTGTAATCTGCTTTTCTTGTTCGCCCAGGTTGGTTTGCCTGTTCCTGAAACGAGGAGCAGACTACAACGCACGAGACAAGAACGAGAAAGACCCCATAACCATCGCCGTGGACAATGCAAACGCAGACATCGTAACTCTGTAAGCACTCGTGGGAAGAGGAACTCTGCAGTCTAGCAGACAGACGCCGTTCTGACTGCGTCCTCTTCTTACCTTTCAGGCTGAGGATCGCCAAGATGAACAAAGAGATGCGGGAGATGGACGGAGCCTTCGGCCAATCAGGTCCGCTTCCAGCGGGGCAGGAATGCGGGGCGGTGGAGGGCGGGGCTAGAGGTGGACGGGGTCACGCCAGGAAGCGAATCCAGGCCAAAATGAATCAAATAAGCGACTGGGCTTTAGGAGGGGTGGAACGATTAGCAGAGCTGAAATCAGACCTTCAAACATGAAAAATGTAACAAAAATATTTATACTCAGAACAGGGAAGAGATAAAGGGAAAAGTAGGGGTCATATCCTAAGAAGATATGATTCACATTGTGAATATTAAAAGTGTTCACTTTCACTCTGCCATTAAAATGCCAGATTTTTGTGATATGAAACAGAAATGAATCATTCCAAACCTTCCCACCTTTGATTTGATGGATATTCTGTGCCTTATAATTAAAAAATAATCACTTGGTCGATGCAAAATGGAAAAGAAAAAAAAGTTGAAGTCTAGCAGTCTGTTTCTTTGGGGTCACACTAAATAAAGAGGCCATTTTTTCTGGACATCTGCCCATTTCAACCTTTTCCTTGCAGTAAAAAAAAATATTTTACATTTATTTTCTAGCACAGAATACAAATTCAAGTACTGTTTGTCCTCTAACTGTTAAAACAAGCTCCTGATTTATTCATGTCAGGAAAGACGAGAAGGGAAGTAATGCATTTTGTCTAAACCAGCCTTTACTACCCAAAGAGCCGTTTTGAACAGCGAATCAAAATTCATTCAGAGCCACAAATGTTACGTAACTTTTTGGGTAGGAATTAAATTGTAATTTCTATAGAACTGCTGTTTTATTTCCACTTGTAGGTTTTAAAATTAAGAAAAACATAATAATAATTTTAAAAAAGTGATACATTTTCTGGGATATTACTGGTGGAAATAATGAAAAAAAAAAATCCCATAGATTCTAACCTAAAGACAATCTAAAAAACACCTTTGTCGTGGAAATTAATTGCAATCACTCCATGACAAAAGAGTAAAAACTACTAAAAACCTGGATTTGCTATTCGAATTAAAAACATTTAACACCATCTAGTCCCAAATGAAACCATACTTCCCACCGTTAAACACGGTGGCGGCAGCGTCATGATTTGAGACAACACAGCCAAATAACCCAATCAAAAGGTGCTTCAACCAGGTTTTTTATTGCTTACATTTTCCCACCCAACAGGCTGGTTTGTTATTTAGATTGTACACGATATGATGTCAAAGGAGTAAAAAGTTTTAAAATAACTCATAATTATTTCACATCACATGAACCTGGTGTTTTTTACATGAGTGCGTACTGTTCATATTCACACGAAATGCACATAGACACTTTGAAACAAAGCCTACAACAAAATGCTGAATGTGTTTTCAACATTTATAGCCGTGGTGTAATATACGACACACCTTTTCCAATAAGTTTGGATCTATTTCGACATTTTCAAGACTTTCATCACCTGTAAATATGAGCATGGCTGTTCTCCCAGGTATCTAAGCTAAATTCAGGGTGCGGTTTTGTTTTTCCTACTATTCTGTGAATAGTGGCTTGGTTTACAATGTAATGTTAATATATTTATTAGCTCCTGTTAGTCAGTTTCCACGCCTCTACGGTCAGTTTGGGTGCATTTTGTCTCCACGGTCCGTTCCTCCATCACTGCTGTGGTCGGTGCGGTCCGCCTGCCTTCGCTCCCGTTCCAGTGGGAAGTAGCGGGGTGGGGGTGTGTTTGCTCACCGAGGAGGAGAAATGTGAAACGTGTTTGTCTGCTGGTCAGTTTTTGAAGTGCTCTGCTTTGTTCACTGTCTGTCTTTGTTGTGTGCTCTCCTCTGCCCGCTGAGATGTCCATCTGGTCTCAACTGCTTGCGCAGTGTGCCACCTGCAGAAACCTGAGAGGTAAATTGCATGTGCATGCCGTTCTGCGTGTGTGTGTGTGTTTGTGTCCGTTTGTTGTGCTGCATGCGTTGTGCTTCAGGGCTTCTGCTCGTCAAATGTGCTCTGGGAATTCTTGGAGTTTATTTTTCTGTGCAAAAACAACTGGATTCATACAACAAGAAAGTAAATGTTCACACCCTGCTTTTCCACATGCCGTCATGTTAAGGACACACATTCACAGCATGGTTTTAAATAGAGCAACAAAAGTTGTGCATAATTGTGAAGTGGAAGGAAAAGGAGACATTGTTTCTACTATGTTTACAGACGAAGGTCTGAAAATGTTGCATGAGTTGGTATTGGTGTCTCTACCAGCGTAGCGACCAACTCGTCGTCTTTGCGAAACACAGAAACTCCAGCTCAGTCAGACTGGATAGAGACGGACCGTGAATTGGATTTATATTTGGGCTTTGACTAGGCCTTTACAACACACGAGTGGTCCTGGTAGAAACATTGTGGACGTCTAGGGTCCTGGAAAGGTGAATTTTACTTCTAATCTTTTGCTGCGTCACCTTGTTTTGTTTTTGCCATAAAGGTCACATTAGTGGAGAGCACAGCTAACAGTCGTCCTGTCAGCAGGTCATCTGTGGGAGTCTGTAGTTGCTACAGCGTTACCATGGACCTCTTGGCTGCAGCTCTGATTTAATGCCCCCCTTGCCCAGCCTGTTAGCTTAGCTGAACTGCTTCGTTTTTCTTGTCATATCTTTTTCATGTTCGATGATGCATTGCACAGAGCTCTGAAAGATGGTTACATTTTGAATATTTTTATAACTTTGTCGTATATTTTGGAGTATTAGAGTAAAGATACTTGAATGCAAATAAATCTTAACCTTTCAAAAATCCAGCTTCATTTCCTCTCTATTTACCAGTTATGCACTACTGGCAGTTTCTCTGTCACATTAATAAAATACCTGGAGGTTTGTTGTAGCAAAATGTGACAGCAATCCAGGGGTGTGAATACTTTTGCGGGGGATTGTACACTAAGAGCTGGGAGTTTCTGCACCTTTAAGAAATGTGAAGCTTCCAACCTTAAGGCTCATGTTGTTTTTTTTTGTTTGTTTATATCTTCCAGGTGATGAAACGTACCAGGACATTTTCAGAGACTTTTCACACATGGCCTCTAATAACCCGGAGAAGCTCAGGCGCCGCAGTGCAGACCCTAAACCTTAACATCAACCCCCCCTCGCCTGTCCTTCTGTCCAGTTCCTCCTTTCACAGCCCTCAACCCAAACACACACTTTCTTTTTTTTACTTTTTACACAAATGTGGAAACGATTGAGCTCTCAGACTTGCAAACATTTCCCTCTGGCTACCGTCCACATGTTGAGTTCAGCTGTTGCTGAAGGAACGTGTGGGCGGGGTCCTGGATGCTCCCAACAAGGGAATGCTTTGTGTGATCACGTCAGCGCAGAACAATCGCGTCCAAGTGGAAACACTGGAGCAGCTTTATGAGTCCAGCATGAGGTGTTTCTATCCCCCGCAGAGCGACGCCGTCACTCTGCCAAGAGATCCTAATTAAAACCAGAAAATCTGATTTCTTCCCCCTTAAGTTTGCTTCCCATCCCTCCTCTTCTAAAATGGGCTGTTTTTTATTATTATTATTATTATTCTTTTAATACTGACTTTTTAAAATGTTTGTTAAAGACAAAAATATTGCAAAAAGAGCATTTTTATTCCAGTAAAATACCATAAAATCTATACAGTTGGCAGATTTCAACTTTACAAAAGACAATATTTATGTGTATTTTGTCTACATCGTGTGACATCATCAAATTTGCATTTGACCAATAAACAAAACAGTGCAACCGTGCGTTTAGTGTGAGTGCTTTTCTTGTAGACGTCCACCAGAGGGCGACGAATCATAAGGCTGGGACAGACACAGTGACAAGGGAACCGATATTCACACAGATGACGTGATTAATCTGAGAGTCTGAGAGCAGCTTTGAATGCTTTATATAAAAATAAAAATGCCATTTTAGTTTATTAAAAAAAATATTCCTGCTCAGTAAAAAAAGTTTTCACCTGTAAACAGTTGCCTCATCACTGTTGAGTATTATCCAAAAGCCTGTTGCATTGCAGCAACCCTGCCAGTAAGCAGCAGTTCATGGTGACCCCAGATGTTCACCCAGCTGTTCCCAAGGCCAAACATATTTGGTGCTACAAAGGCGTTCTTGGTTTATGGTTTACAGAGGTTCAAAGAGCACGTGCAACAAGATGAACAGGTCATTGAGAAGAGCAGATGAGAAAATAATCTTGTGCTCCTGCAGAGAAACTTCTGACGAAACACCGAGTCGCTAACAGTGAGCAGAACTGACATTCATTCGCATGACTTGGTAATAATGTGGAGTCATCAAAGTGGAAAACTGCACCCCATTCCAGGTTCAAGAAACTACTTCCAATCTTCACAAAAAGTCATTTAGAACCTGAGATTCTGTCTTAAAGAGGCATTACAACTCAAAATACGGATATGATTGAGACCTTTTCATTGACGTTGTCTTTAACAACCAATTCGGCTTTAAATCAAATCTATAATGAAACACTCCTAAACACTCACAATTTGGATTTGTGACGTTTTTAGAAACCCTACAGATGTAGATAATCCCCACAGAGTTGTAATCCAGCCTTTATTACAGGCTGAATTTGTGTTAGTAATTATCAGGCAAACCAGGTTTAATAACCCAAGGATAAATCATGACAATGCAAAATTCAAATATGCAGCTCACTCAGACTTACAGAGCTGAGTCTGTTGAACATGTCAGTGGTTTGTTCTTAGTAAGTATATCGATTAGGAGGGTAACGCCATGAAACTGATGAGAACTGTTGGTAATAACCGTCCATCTGTTCAAAATGTTGAACCATGCACCGCTGTAATTCACTCATACTTAAAAATCAAAACAAAAATCTGGTTCTGTGAGATACAGCAGAATGACACAGGGAGTATGTAGATGGGCTGAAGAAAAGGAGACGCAAAAGACAAAACCAAGAAACCAGTTGACAACTTCAGTCAACTTTTAGAAAGCCACCCTCGTACCTGACATTGCAACATGGTAGGCTATGAAGACATGTCCTATGACCAAGGTGTCCCGCAAGACGCATCTGACGACGTGTAAAAGCAAAGAAGTTTGTCAAGACTTATCATCGTCATGTTAAGGGACCTGTCTTTTTAGCATTTGTAAGCTCAAATGACTGAACCAAAAACTTCCCGATGGTAATCTGAAGTGATGAACCAAGTGTGGCTTTAAATGCAAGGCAATGATCAGAAACACACAACCAAGGAAACTCTCAGTCGGTCTCAGAGACGCCACCTGAGCTGTAAGCGTGGCTCAGTCAAACGTTTAACTTGAAATCAATTCAAGAAGCAAGGCTCAACCAAAACTTTAGGTTTTAAAGACAGATTGTGTGGAGGAAAACACCAGTGAACCATTTATGTGCTAACTTCAGTCGATTTCTTTGCATATGGGGATTTCGAGGGTTGCTACCGACATCTTTTGTATAATTTCCTGCTGATAGACTCAGAAACGAAATGTGTGTCAGCACTTATTGCCCCAACAATAGTTGTTCGCAGAACTGTTTTCTTGCTTCTTAATTTCTTTGTCAAGTATGGTAAAGATGCACGTTAATTGTGCATTGCTTTGGGTCTAATCCTGTGAGGTGTATTATTAACACCCATCTCACCTTTTGCAAACAAAAGACGTTCCCCGATAAGATCACCTTTCTTTTGGTTCCACGGGTTGATAGTTGAGTTCAGACGAGCAGCCGTCCTTCTGTCCTAGCTCTAAATTCAAAGTCTCGCTCTTGTCAACGACGACGGGTCTCTGAGGAGATGGAGGCTCCACACAGGAGAAGTAGTGAGGCAGCGTGGTTATGGTCAAACTACCGAGGAGCACAAAAGAGCCGGCGACCACAAAGGAGGCCGTGTAGTTTCCTGTCACGTCTCTGAGCCAACCTGCAGCACAACACAATGGAGTCCATCAGAGCTTATCTGTCCCAGGGTGGAGTGGTTAATCAACATAATGCTTCAATGAATTTCAAAACAAAAGCTCCAATTTGAGAACTCTCTCTAAAAGTCAAGAGTACATGCTTATATATACGCATATCATCACTAATATTGACTTGTTTTGGGATTCAGAGCCATGATACCTTATATTATCACAACTATAAGTGAAAGTGAAACAGAGTCAGCAAGTTGAGCATGAACCTTTGAACTGTGCCGTCTCATCCTGCGTCGTGAAAACAGATTACACAAGATGCTTTCATAAAGAATAGTTAAAACATCAAAAATTAGCTACTTAATAACTGTTGATCACGTGACTCGGGTGACTTGGAGAAAGTGCTTCGATGCAACAACAACAAAAAAAAAAACGCATCATCCTAGTGCAAAAAACTTTGATAACACTTTAGTTGACGGGGGTGTCAACTTTGCACTCAGTAAATAATGACACTTCTAATGCACTTTCATTAGAAATACATTAAAATTATCAACTTTACACTGAAAGTGTCATTATTTAAGTGTTGACGCTTTGTGAAAACAGTCGTAAGCAGTTGTGAAGACTCCTTTATCTTCATGTCGGGTGTTATGTCACATTTACGACGGTTCTTATGCACACCCCTTCAAATGAAGTGTTACCAAAACTTTGAATTAGTAAAAAATGTTAGTTTTTTCGAAACTGGCCAGTTTCCAGTAAGCAAATTTATTTTTGTGATTTCAATTTGCGCAGTTCTGAAGTTAATAGAAACTCAGCTGATGTTTAGCTCTGTGCCATTAATTTGGTTTTAGCTGTGTCTCCTTTATGGTCAGACATTAAATGACCTGTTGCTGTGTTTACATGTATCTGTAACCACTGGCATTGACTGCCACACACTTTCTGTACTGTCTTTGCTTTCTTTCCGATAGAAATTAATGAGATCGTTATGCTCTGGCTGTCTGTGGACCTGTCTGTCTTGCTCGGTGGCTTGCGATGACAGTTGGTGTTAATTGTTGTAATGAATTGGTGAACTCTTACCTGACAGGGGAGTACCCAGCAGCCCTGCACAGCTCTCGATCAGCTGTAATAGCCCAAGGCCTCCCATCATGCGCTCCACGCCCATGATCATCGGCATCACAGCAAACACCATGGAGGTCAAAGCGCGGAGCAGAAACCGTAGAGAAGGCTGATCACAATCATTACAGCATAGGAGCCCGTCAAGGAGCTGACGGGCAGCAGCATGATGAAGACTCCCGCCAAAGAAGTCCACAAGGTCAGCAGATGCAGCGCCCGAAAGCGCCCCAAGTCCGAGAACCAGCCTGACGCAATTCGGCCAAAAATGTCTGTGACGCCTGCAGCTGACACGATGAATGCCGCCCGGTACTCGGAGAAGCCCACCTGGCGGCTGTGGGCCACCAGGTGGAAATGGCACAAAGTAGCCGAAGTTAAAAAGCGTTACACCTAAGGTGTAGGTGAGATAGGCCTCTCGCAAAGCAATGACACCTCCAGGTAGGAGGAGACTCTCTGCAGGAGGTCAGGCCGTGATGATCTGCTCTGTGAGTCCACCTGCAGAGAAAAATAACTAATCACTGACAGAATTCTCCATTTTTACGCAGTTCTTCAATTAATGCAAACCTTCGGACAATAAATCTATGTGTGAACCAGAACCGCACAGCATGTGCGGTTCTGGTTCCACTTGTCAAGGCCAGCGAAGCTGGTTTGGTGACACGAACTCACTCACTCTTTGGTTACCTAGCAACAACTCACTCACTCTTCGGTTACCTAGCAACAACTTGTTGAATAACTTGTGCAGCAGCAGTTTCAGGTTTCACCAACATGTCTTCTATCTGCTTAAAAATAAAAACCAACGACTCTGAATGGAAACTGTGGATGAAACAGGAACGCTCACGGCGCCAGTTTGGCTTCATTTCAGATATTTAAAACAAGAAACTAATTCATAATTATCAATATCGACTGATATAAAATCCTTATATTGTGAGTTTTTGTCAGCCATATCGTCCAGCCCTACTTAACCTTTAAACACAACCCTACATATTGCTGTTCCTTTTGTGCTTATGAGCACAAAGGGAAAACTTGCTGTAATATTTTTATTTACTAACAAAATTTTATAGGTATCAAAAACCGGAAAACATTTCCTACCTTTGTTGAGGCTTTAGAGCGAAAACTGTGGTCGGATAAGGGCTCCGCAGGCCATAATGTTGAGGCTGAGGCCCCCCAGGATGAGCAGGGCTCCGCGCCAGGCATACGTCTCCACTAGCAGCTGGAAAGCGGGTTAAAAGCAAAGGAAGAAAGGCCGATGCTAGAGAAACCCAGTCCCACAGCCAGCGCTCGTCTACGAGTGAAGTTAGCCATGACTGTGGCCACCATGGGGGTGAAGACCAGCCCCCAACCCAAACCTGGAGGACAAAAGGCTAAATGAAGAAATAGAACTGTACTTTTTCATCTAACCTAAAAAAACACATGTAAACGGATTAATTCATTTATTCTGCAGAAATAAGTAAAAAAAAAAAAAAAAAAAAAACTGGCCATTGACACCCGAGTACAGTGGTTTGAAAAGCTAACGCAAAACTAAGCTCACCTGTGATTACTCCCATAGTAAGGTACAGGTGAACCAGGCATGTGGCCTGTGAGGCAAGGATAAGTCCGAGTCCGGAAAAAAAACCTCCTGTCATCACAACCAGTCTGGTATTATATGCATTACATAGAGCTGCACCGAGCGGGCCTGCAAAAGAAAACACCACAAATTAATCCTTACTAAACAAATCAAACACAGGATGTTTTCCTTGGATTTGAGAAAATCAAGAGTTGACTCATTTCAGAAAAGACATGATAGAGTCGCAGTGAAATACTGCGACTCTATCATGTCACAGTATGACATGATAGAGTGTATAATGGATAGTATGTAGTATGATAGATAATATGTGCTCACATATTTAGAACACCTAAATATGTTTTCTAGAATACATGTTTGTTCTAGAACTGTACTTTTTGCACAATAGATACATTACTAATTTACCAAGTAGTAAGGTATTATATAACAGATCACAACATATTTTAGGGTTTTTCTTAGTATTTTAAGGAAATTGAGTGTCTTCTGACAGAGATTATTACAGTATTCTTTAATTATTTAAAGATAATAAGGTAGGGTTCAACATTAGACTCACTGAAGAACTGCTGCGCTGCCAAGCCGATAGATGAGATCCAGGAGATGGCCTGAGCGCTCTCCTCAAAGAACTGGACAAACTCCACAAAGAAGATCCCCAAACTGCGCATCAGTCCAAACACCAGGCTGGTACTGACGAACATCGCCACGACCAGCACCCAGCCCCAGCCTCCGTCTGGGCCCTCTGCTCCATCTCCCTGGCTCTGTGATTTCCGCTTTCTGTTGCTCATGTTATCTATACACATATAAATACATATTTATGTGTATATAAATATAAAATAAATAAAAGAGGGCTGTTAGAAGTGGACCTGTCAGACTGGAGAAGCAAAAGTGCGGAAAAAGACACAGATCTTTGCTGCGGTTGTCAAAGTGGTAATGATTAACCTCCAATGGGGCAATAAACTCTCCTGTGTGGAGTATGTAGGACTAAGCTGCTTAACAAGTTGGCCTTCATTGACCTGATGTAGGTCAGAGGACACGAGAAGCTCCTCACATGTTGGTTATTGATTACAGATGGTGAACTGGTGTGCACAAGCAATAAGCTATTGCAATAAGTAATTGCAGTGTCACCAAAATGTCTAATTACACATCTCTCTGTAAAAAAGATAATAAAATAAAATACATGACAACTAATAAATAAAGCCAATCATCAGAAAGGTACATTTTCCTGGATTTACTAAAAGAAGATGCCAAGATCTCTGTCTACTGGAGTTAAAACTATTTTGTAACTACTTTTTCAACCATTCTCAATATTTCTTTAGAGAGACTTCTTTGCCACAGGTAAGATCTAAATGTAAACATAAAGTTAAAGTTTGATTGTATCCTAAATCGTCCTGCCATACTCACCTCTCTCGTAAATGGACGTGACGTAACAACATGCGACCCCCTGCTGCTGTTGCCACTAGTTATAAAAACAAAACATATAGCCTGAAGCGTGTTTCAACACAGTTACAGATTAAACGAAAGTACTTTTGACTTTTTCCGCCGTTATAACCGTATAACCTCGGCGCCAAAAGTGGGGATGAAGGGGGGGAACTAATAGCTTCGTGTCATGTGCCCGGCCGGAGTGGACAGTCAGGACACCAACCGCCAACCGCCTGCTGTAAAAACTTATCCGAGGTGTCTGTGACTCGACTCAACTACTCACCCGGTGTGTCCGTCCGCTCCACGGCTCCTCATGGTCCACAGTGTCCCGGTTCAAACCAGAAAAGTGAAAGCATTAACTGGGTTCGCTCCAGCTGCTGAGTCTGCGCAGAGAACCACCAACAGGGACTCTGAGAAATGCAAGCATCCCACATCTCCTGTTGATTTCAAATAGAATTAAATATGGTCAAGGTGTGTAGTTGTTTAAAATGTTGGGTTTATTATTTTTTTTCTTATAACAACCTTGTAATCCACCGATTGGATTGTCCAGATGAGATTTTCTTTAGTTTTTGCTCTTGGTTTAGTTTCCATGATTGACACTAGAGGGAAGCAGCCTCCAGGTCTGGAAATCAGAAATGACTTGAGCCGCTCTGCTCAATTACAATCAAGCTTTAATCACATTCAGAAAGAATCCTACAACCATTGATTTATAGTGTGTGTGGCCATATTGGGTTTAAAATTTAAAAAAAAAGCAAATAACAAAAATGTAATAAATTACTCAATAAATTAACTTTTTTGAAAAATAAAGTTGATCTGTTAGCTGAAACTAAAAGTCAAATCAAGACACAAAACATGATCACCACTTTACACATATTCGAGTTCAACATTCGACTCTGGATTTTATTTCAAGACCAGTCAAGACTGCAACTGTGAAAATATTACTAAACTCACAGCATCACGTCCATACTGGCACAAAATAATGTTTTGCATCAACAATTTTGCTCCAAGTTTTGTCCTTCTCACTTCTGCTGATTTTCTTGTACAAAATGTTGAATAAATATCCATATTGTTCACATGTCACCTACAGACAGTCCTCCATCTCCAGTCCACTGGACTGTGGTTGCAATGTCATCAGTTCTTTGTTTGGGATTCCAATAGAAATGTTAAATAGCCTAAGAATCGTTTGACCGAGCCACAGATAGAACCCTAAATAACCTATTTAGACAGTTTATAAGCAAAATAAAGTTGACTTGGAGGTGAATTTTACTTTAAATGATAATATTAGGTAAAGAAAACAGGGTGGGAGTATAAATGAAGCCTGGAAAGTCCCGTCAAACTTCCAGTATTTGTCCACAGAGCTCAGACAATAAGCCTTGGTTCATCAGGGAGCAGGAAGCGGGGATGACAGAGGGTGGGAGAGTTCACAGACACCCCATCACCTTCAGGAAGCCCCCGCACGTGTTTGAGTCTCGCGCGCAGCTCGAAAGAGCTGTGACTCTGGAGGAAACAGGTGCCCTCTGCTTCATTGTTTCCACCGCGAGAAAAACACGGAACACGGCCTAAAGAATTGGTGGTGGATGGATTTGGATTAGGATAAAAAAGACGACACAAAGACACACACACTCTCATGCATAAGATCAATTCAGAGAGGCCGCTTAACCTAACAATCCTTTTTGTTAAACGTGTGAGGAAGTCGGAGTACCCAGAGAAAAGCTACGTATAAAGAAAGAATGTGGTTTCTCCATGCAAAAATTGAAGTATGGACAGTAAAAAAAACCACAAAAGACTTTGAAATGATAGAAAAATTATTATTTCAAATTTGTCCTGCAAATGAACTCATACGAATTTAAATGGCTTCAAAACATTTCATTTAAATACCATCATTTGAGTTTATTCTAGTCTTTATTCAGTACAAGAGAACTGATCCCTTTAGTTTGGTTTGAACTCCCAAGATTATAAATTATTTCTTATAGATGCTTAAAAAAAACAATATAGAGGCCCAGGCCGTCAAGTTAAATACATATTTATGAAAACAACTCATGAAATGCTTCTCTACATTCAGACGAGATGCACATGTGTTTCTTTTTTCCTTCTGTCCACATCCAAGATCTTTCTACAAATTTTATCAACACACCTTCTTCTCTCTCTCTTCCTATCTTTACATCTCCTCACAACCTTCATCAACACTTTACTTTGGTCCTTTTCATTCCCTCTTCCTTTATCAACATCCACGCACATTCACACATGGTCCAGACGTTGTTTGATAAAGATGGCTGAAATGTCGTGAAAATAACATTTGCAGTAATTTTAAGGCCAAGATCTAACTTTCAGTTCTTCGTAAGTCAATTAAGAATCAGGCGAATCGTTTTCTGACAGATTTAGTTACAACCGATGTGATCCGGTATGCAGCGATCGGCGCTCCTCAGCAGGCCTGCAGAAGAGGCTGGAAGGGCTCGGTCAGCACCTTGTAGCGGATCTTGGTGTTGGTGATGGCTCCGTGTTTCTGCCGTAGGTGCAGGCGCAGCTGGCTCTTGTGTCGGAAGTGAAGGTCGCACTTCTCACACTGCAACGCGGAAACACAAGCACCCCACAGATTAAAGGTCGGACAGGGTTATCAATCCGGGTTGGCTGGATTTAATTTTGTGCAGGTGGGAGGGTTTGGAAGTTGTTTCTGTTACATACGGAGTAAGGTTTCTCTCCAGTGTGGATGCGCAAATGGCTCTTGAGCGTCTGCAGGTGGCGAAAGCGGGTCCACAGGTGTGACAGGGGTAGGGTTTCTCACCAGTGTGGATCAGGACGTGGGCCCGGAGGTGGGCAACCTAACACCAGGACAGAGCAAAGGAAAGGTTGAGACCCGACACATTCCAAGAAAACATTTTTTTTTCGCTGTCACATTTCACATACTTGTTTGTTTAAGCAAAAAGCTAAAAAAAAAAAAAAAAAAAAAAAAGACATCAATGTTATTTTTAAATACTTAACTAAAAAAAAGAAATATGCAGACTCTTAAAGTATACAGTGGAATCAGTAGTTGTTTTCTTGAAGCTTTTTTTGCTGTCTAATGAAAATCAATACTTGTTCCTCACTTGAATTGCATGTTTTCTTGTTTTTGAAGATTCTGAAGATTGGCTAAGAGAAATGGGCCCCTCTGTCACATCCTATTCAAACCCCAATAAAACAGGAAGTCGTGGACTACTAACTGAAAACTCTTGAACAAACATTTCCTAAAATCAACAGATTTTAGATTTCCTAAAATCTGTTGTTCAAGCGGATTATGTTGCAAGTCAGTAAATATGCTCAGATTAAAAGATTAAATTGGATTTTTAATTTGATGTTGTGAAACTGATACAAGACAATAAAAGAGGCTTTTGTGCATCTTTACCAGGGGTTGCAGTAAGGGAAACCAGATGGATGGCTGTTGCATGGAACAATTTTTGGCATGAGGTTATATTTTTCGTAAGTAAATACATTCTAAGCATTGCAATGCTGTGTTGATATTTTTTGGAAGTTAAAACTCATATGTGTTAGTGCTGCCACACCCAGATTAACCAGGTTAAACTAGGTGTAGGCTTTTAAGAACAAGTGTAACTTTTCAAAGCTCATCTAAAATATTAAGATATTTATAAGAAAGCAGAGATTAGAAGTCAGTGTTGACCCATCATGGCTAACTCCTGTAGAATGTGAGGTTCATCAGTTGTTTTAATGCCCGATCTTTCCTGACCTGAACAAATCGAGCTCCACAGGTGTCGCAGCGGTATGGTTTCTCTCCGAGTGAATGCGGGTGTGAGTTTTCAGGTTGGCTGGTCGGTTAAACTGAGCTCCGCACACGTTACAGCGATACGGCTTGTCTCCTGCCAGAACAAAATTCACTCCTGTTACACGCTTGTTTTTTTCTCAACCAAAATATTAAAAAAAATTCAAAATCAGCAATAAAAAGAAACAGAAATATGTGTTGAAAGTTTCACCTGAGCAGACAGATTTGGTTCCCTGAAGAGAGCCAGAGTAAGCGAAGGGCAGGTAGCGATTCTCGCATTTGATTGGAGGTTCGCCGAGTTGGGCAGCTTCCGGATCAGATGGAAGAAGTTTAGGGATAATGGTGCCAGGTGAGCCTGGAAGAGCAAATAAGAAAACAAAAACTGCTTTAGACACCAGATCATTGTTTTTTCTCAACGACCTGTTTGTTTGGGCCTACCTGGCTCCTTCTTGTGGGAGGCAGACCCTTTTGGGAGATCCAGAGAGGGAGGCGGCCCGAGGGGAGGGGCTCGGCCAGAACCCTCGTAGCAGGAGGCCTGCCCCTGTCTGAGGGAAAAATTCAATATTTACCATAATCGCCTTTTTTCTTTCTTTATCTTCATATTTCTCGCATTTGTCAGGTTTACCTATCAAT